CACCGCGGCCGCGGCCGGTGGCCCGGGACTGGGGGAGGCCGGGCTCCCCGCTCCGCTTCTGTGTCCACGTCCCGACCGCAGGGGCCTCCCTGCCGGGAGGAGAGCCGGGGACCCGCGATGCCAGGAAACAGGCTCCCTAGAAGGAATCCTGAGAACACACCTAATTGATGTATAATTTTGAATTTGAGATGTCTCATCCAGGTGGAAGAGAAAATCATAAATACAAGACACCTCAAAAGAACAGTCTTAATTACACCATGGACTACTGAATAAAATGATTACATTTTCCCACAGCAAATTTCGTACAATTAAATGCAGTAGTGTCACCTCATAAAATGTTTCAATTTTATAATTATTTCAGTTCATTTGCTCAGAAAAAAACATAAGCACAAATTTACTAAGTATCACCCAAACCCAGTCATTATAGTTCCAAAGAACTGCCTGGAATGTTAGTCGTGCTTGTCTGAACCTAAATGGATCTTGACATATTTAAGTAGCTATGAAAATTGATAACATCAGGGATGATACCCCGGCTGGGAGAAGGCATTCAGTTGTACTTATTTATTCACATTCTACGTTACAGACATTGAAAAAACACACAAAACTTAATTCGGGGGGAGTGGGAACCAATTTTTATACTTTTGACCAAAACCCTTTAGTCTTCAGTCAGAGACATCCTGTCGCGAGTCTCCCGATGGTGCCAAACTCTCGGCAACAGCGTGTTGAACTGTCCGGGTGCTGGAGCCTAGGTCCGAACCCGCTCCTTCTGCCTTTCTGCTGACTTTGTTTTGGGGGTAGAAGGGTGATTGTCGTTTATCTGGGGTCCCTTCTGGAAGGGCCCTGTTCTTGCTGTTGTGGATCATGATTCTCAAAGCAGCAGGAGGTGGGCAGCTGGCCGCTCACCCTGCCCCGTGACCCTCCCGCCCCTCGGTGGCCAGCCTGGGAGCTGCGGGGCAGACTCGGGGCGCACGGGGCCGTGACCCTGAGGCCGACGTGTGGAAACTCCTTGTATTGTGGCCTTTTCCACTATGATTAAACGTGCTCCTTTCCACGGGGCGGGCTCTGCCTCTTAGTCAGCCGGTCCCCAGCTGTGCGCTTCGCACCCGTGGGGCCCGTGTTCCTCCTCCTGCTCTCCGGGTGTCGCTGAGCCTGGGTGTCCTGAAGGGGTCCTAGAGGAGGGCAAAGGAAATGTCACAAGCCTCACAGGGTTTTGTCATGGCTTCTTTCACTCACAGCCGAGTACCAGCATTGGCCCTGTGGCCTGCTGCTCTCGGATTCACCTTAAAGCCTTAATCCAGGTTTGAAAAGGTAAGAAGCGGGGCGGTGAGATGGGTGCTCGAACTGCAGTGATGGAGCCCCTGCCAGGATACCAGGTGGTTCAACAGCGGGAGCAACACACAGAGAGGGTGTCATAAAGGTAGTGGGGGGGCGAATAAGGGACCGAGGCCCCCCCAGAAGTCTGCAATGACGTGAAGGCTCTGCCACCTCTTCCCTTGGTTCGTCCCAGCCAAGAGCGCTGGCATTAGCTCGCAGGCCATGAGTGCCTAACCAGCACCGCCCAGGGCGCCAGTAAGTACCATTACAAGAACTGCAGAGAGGGGGGCATTAAGAAGGGGAGAAAGCCCGGGGAAGCTGCCACCACTGCCTGGCAGCACTAGGAGCAGCGCGAGAGCCGAGAGCGGAGACAGCCAGGCCTTCACTTCCTCCCACCTCCCATTTCCCACCACTGCCCCCTCTCCGGACACTTTATTTACCCCTTAGTGCCCATTTAGTCATTCATTCAGCAAGAGACGGGGCTTTGTTGTAACTTAGGTTCCAGTAGGACAGAGCGTAATTAACAAACTAAGTAGTTTAATATTGTGTTTAGTGCTCTGAAGAAGAAATAAATCAGGGTGCTATGAGAGCTGCAGCAAGGATGTGATTTGGAGAGAGGGTGTTTTAAGCTAAAGACTCAAAGGTTGGGTAGGAATTAGGTGAGGTTGTGAAGAAAGAATGTGCAGCACAAGCCAAAGGCACAGCCTGTGCAAAGGCCCTGAGTTAGGTGCACCCCAGGAACTAAAATTGAGCCAGTGGGCTGAGGTGCCAGGAGTAAGGAGGGAGTAGGACTGGAGACAGGGAAGCAGTCAGGAACCTGCTCACGCAGGAGCTTGCCCGCTGTGGCAAGGATTTGGGACCTTAGAGAAAGGGTGAGTTCTTCTAATTTATGACTAAACATAGAACGGCCGATGAATTCGAGGTGCGCTCACGTGGAAGCAGTGTCCTTGACAGGAGGCTCTTGCTGCTGACAGCTGGCGGTGGCTAGCACTAAGGATGCGGGCAGAGGCTTATGGGTTTCAAATCAAAATCTGAGATAGAATCAGGACTCAGCGAAGACTCGGATGCGAGACTATGACAGGGAAGAAGAAAGTGACAAGAATGAGTCCCAGGCCCCTCCTGAATTCATCTGCATGCTCAGGAGCCATGCACCAGAGACAGCTGGAGCGGGGGCAGGTTTGCGGACAGGCGGAGAGGGGTCCGCGGTACAGTTGGCCTTGGTCAGGGCGAGATGTTTTGAAGAGACTGTGTATGGGATGTGACGTAGGCCGCTGGCTACACAGAATCTTCCTCAGATGGGCTGAGAGAAGGGGTGGTAATCATGTACTAGGACTTTGAATAGCATGCTTATTAAACATTAAAGCCCCAATAAATAGCATAGGTAAAGAAAATACATCCATCAGCACAAGGGGAAGTCCAACTCTGTTTCCAAACAGTTGCAAATTTTCCTCTGAACTGCTTATGTTACTTTTGTGCAAAAAAAAAAAAAAGACTATATGCAAAACAGTTCAGCCTGCTAGTGTAGAATTGTTTAATATGCATTTTAGGAAAAGTGTAGCACACACTTGAACATGGGGAAAGATCTGTTTTCAATAAGGCTCTACCTTTTATAACAAAATACAAAGACTGACTTAGAAAAAACAGGCTCTATGCTTAAGTGCAAAATAGAAGGTGGAAGGAAACAAATGCTAATTTGGCCAAAGGATTAGGCAAAAACATTTGTGTGTGTGTAAATAAAATCTATGGTAGACATCAGACGTGGAGACCTCCAGCTCTGCCAACTTGCAGAGACCTGGGCACTTGGAATTGAACTGAAAGGTTAAATGCCCTCAGGAAATTATAAGGCCACTTCACAGAACAAGTTCTTCATCCTTTGATGGGAAACACTAGCTGCTACACTGACACGTCACCCTGCACTGAGCCTGACTTACCTCCAAACTAACCTTTGAACGTCTCCTCTCCAAAAGGCAGGACCTAGTGGGGTCCTTTTCAGTTGTCATGCCCGGAGCAAGGCCCTTGAGCGTCCAGCCTGAGGCGTCAGGGAGCACCTGCTAGGAGAAGCCCCTGTGAGCAGCTCTGCAGCTGTAGCAGCAGGCTTGGCACTGGGCAAACTTGATGAGGTTTTATGGCCCAGATCTTTCACCACCGACGCCCTGTTCAGAAACGCCTACGCAAAATAGAGCTACATACGGCACTAACTTACTCCTAAACTTTTGTGGGTGGCTTGCAGTGGCTTATGAGGTATGGGTGAGTTGGCCACATGCTAGAAACAGGCTCTCGGTGAGTAAAAATAAGCCAGTCTGGCAAAGCGACGAGACATACCGTAGAGGTGCTGTGGACCATGCCACCTGCACTATAAATATTAAGGCCCCAGCGCCCGCAACAGTACACGGCCCTGAAGACGGTCACAGAGCCCGGTGCCGTCCTTGCCTCCGCCTGCTGGGAGGGANATTTCTGTCTACCCTCAGGCGGGATGCACTTTGAACGTTTATATAGCTTAGGAAGTGTCTTTTAAAAGAAATTAAAATGGCTTTCTTTAAAACATTTGTTCCCTTTTAGAGAAAGTTTCTGTGTTCTTCCTTCTCTCTTAAAGATTAACAAGTATATGAACATTAAAAGAAAACTTTCTCTGGAAAATTTATTAAAATTAAATGAACGGTGTTCTAAGGCTATGGCGCTCACGCAGGAGTGGCTGACAGCAAACCTTCCTGCCATCGCACAGCCTCAGTCAACTAAAGTCTGAAAACAAAAGCTGTTAACATTCTTCTTGGGAAAAAATAAATCCTTATCAAGCCAGTCTAACTTTAATGGACTGATAAGCCTATCAGGAATGGAAAATTTCCCCCCAATTTAAGCTAGAATGTTACTTTCAACCATCAACAACTTTCAAGATACTGATTTTAATTACCAAATACGTCATGTGAACACTTACGTAGGTTTTCACAAAACCCTCACGTTTTTGAGACTTTTTAACTAAAAAGAAAAGTTATAATTTTAACAAGAGAACTGCTACATCTTCTAACTAATTCCCTTTATGAAAACAAAGAATATAATAATCTATAACCCATCACAGCTGTTTGGCTAGAATTACCAATTACCTTCAAGGCCTTGGAGATACTTTTCAGAGTTTTACGAGTCTGCATAGTAAAATTTAAACCAATGTTTTTAAAAGGGATTGATCAGATTCATACCCTTTTAGGAGTACGCTGACGTGTTCTTCTCACATGAATGTAAAACCAGGGCTTCACACAACTCGAGGAGAAGGAGGCAGGTTAACTGTAAAAGGGACCGGAAAGCTATGATTACAGTTTTTGCTAGTAGGTTTTGAAACTTTTGCTAGTAGGTTTTGAAACATGCTTTTCACAACGTTTAAAGGTGGTGTGGCAAGTTTGGGGACCCACATCAGACAAGCACGAAGGCCCATGACGGGAACCCAGAAACGCGCGCGTGTGGGTGCCGGCGTCCCTGCCCAGGGCACCCCTGCGGGGCCCTGCGGCCTGACA